CCTCCAACCTAATAGCGATGCCCTCCACCTAGTAATTCTTGCTACTAGAAAGCTTGCGTGTTACTAGTATAGCGAATGGCCTCCAACCTAGTAGCGATGCCCTCCACCTAGTAGCTTCTTGCTACTAGAAAGCTTGATTGTTACTAGTATAGCGAATGGCCTCCACCTAGTAGCTTCTAGTACTGACTGTTCCAGTTCTACCACCTATATAGTTCCTTGCCTTGGAGATGCGTTGCCCCGTCTTCGCTGAACAGGCCACCTTGGCGTGCGGCCACGACGAATCCCTCCGGCCCGAGAAAGTCCGGGAGTCGTGAGGATCCCAGATGTTCAATGAAGGACCATCAAAAGGTCGTCTAGGACACACATATATAGTAACATATAGTTTAGTAATACGTATAGGCTATAGGATTGACAGGAAGTTGGAAGTTGAATCACATATACAAATGTATATATATATGATTGTATATGTATAAGGGACAATCCCAAAAACAAAGACAGGAAGATTGAATCGTGATGTGGCCTCTTGGCTGTGGCTTAAAGATAGGGGTACAGTACCATCCAACGCCCCCCTGGTCAATGGACTGATGAGCTATTATGACATTCTAAGACTCAAACCGGGTCTCACTGTGTCTGATGGTTGGGCCGACCAGTCCATGATGGGCCTTGAAGGACCTCAAAGCCCGACCAGTCCAAGAAGTGTATGTCAAAGTTGCATTCACTGGATTTCGAAACATTCATGCTTACGGAGGATTCACTTGTCTCATCTTGTCTCTATCTTGTCTTTTGCAAACTGTTTTTGCATGTCTCGCATCTTTTTGTCCAGCAAAAAAGACACGAGCCCCGTAAGGCACACGGCACATTGGGACCCCAACCGGACCCCACTGCGGTCCCACCGGGCCACCCGGACCACCTCAGCCCACTGTCCCACGCCGCCCAAGTTGGAACGGATCGCCTGGAAATCAGAGCCGGGCGACACGGAGTGGAAGTCGAGTGAATGGGTTTGAAACAGCGAAACATAACCAATTCAATCCCATTCATCACCACCATCTGGACTTGTTGACTTCAAGCAGCCGAGTCAGAGCCCAAACCCCCACCATGGCCCACCCCAGTCGGCTTAGCGTGAGTGAACCGTGAACCATCTGAGGATGAGAAAATGGATCCAGCCATGCAGATCCGTCTGGATCTCTTTCTGTCAGATCCCTTGGTCGTGTGTGTCAGATCCCTGGGGGGGCGGGTCCAAACACCTAGGAGCTTTTTTGGCCCTTGGAGTCAAGTCTAATCGTGACACACTCCCAAAAAGGTGCTGGTGTTGGTTGCCCACCGCCTATTCCATTGCCCGAATCTGACTTCTGCCTACATGAGGCCATGTCAACCCCTCAAAGCCACTTAGATCCAAACAGCTCAGTACATTGTTCACTATATCTATATATAGCAGCATGACAGAATGCAGCCAACTGAACTTCGAGGCAGGGCTGCATCCACAGTCAAGCAAGTTGACGGAATTTCCCAGTGACCATGGAAGGCCACTCTTTGGTTTGTTGCAATGACATGACTGCAAACGAACAAAACAATGAGGAGACCAACCAACCAACCAACCAACCAACCAATCAACCAATGGATTCTTTGAAACAAAAGGAGGAGACCCTCCAATCAACCAATGAAATTTGATGTATTTGAGTTTGCTTTCCCAGTGACCATTGTTTTCTCAGCGAAGGGGGTGCATTTTGTACACAGGCCCTGGTCATCTTTCTCATCGTTGGCCTGGATGAACTTCTCTTGCGATTCGCTGTCCTCGCTTCGAGGAGAAAGGATCGCTTGGACGTTCTTGGACTTGGCATCGGCCCTAGGACCTAGACTTTAGGTAGCGCATTGTTCATTGTAGCTCACACTAGGCATTAGGGAACCATGTACAAGTAGCAGCCACAGGGCCTTAGGACCGTAGGTCAGAGCCAGGTCCAGACTGAATCAGATTGGTCGAATCAACACCTGCAGGTACTTGCTGGTTTGGGTCGATCCACACCTGGACACCGGAGGTAAAAGACCACTTGTTGGTTAGAGGAACATCGTCATCCAAAGGCCATGCCATCCACTTCCAGGACTATTTCAGGGAGTGTATCAGGGAGGCTTAGCTTGGGAAGTGTGAAACACTCATCCACTACCATGCACTCGTCACGGGAGCTGTGACCAAGGCGTCACCCTCTCCAGGTGATTCGATAACACGGTTTGCAAGTCAGAGGAACCCTGAAATGCAGGGAGAACATGTTTGAATGTTGCCAAAGAATGTGCTTGGACGCTCCAGGACTCCAGGACAGTCCAACAAATTAGAACTGGTGATGCCGCTGATGCTGGGCAAGAAAAACATGCACACACACACACACACGGGAAAAGGCGTTCCATAAAATCCTGCTTTGGCTTTGGGAAGTCCAACAAAGCATTTTGGAGGATCAACTTCTATAGCTTTCCTACAGAGTTGCTGTTCTCAGCGTTTCGACACCCTCTGAGAGCAACACGTGGATGACGCAAAGCCCTGAATGAATCCGCTTCAAGCCGCTTGAACAACCCTCTTTCATCCTCTTTCCACCAAAATCCCTCCAAACTCGCCAATACGACTGACTCTTTCCCCCTATCTAACCGACCTCCTTCCAGGGCCCGTCCAAGTCGCAAACCTCCTCCATCCCTTCCTCCATCCCCATCCTCTCCATCCGCACTGGTGCAGTAGATCCCCTCCGGGCCTTGTTGGGCACCGCATCCCACTTACTGAGCACGATCACCGCTGCCGTGCCGCGCTCCTCGATCGCGCGCGCGATGTAGCGCATCCTCGGCGATCGAGCGGGACCCGGTGATCGGTGGAGGGCCGAAGGCTGCAGTGAGTGAACATCCAATCAACCAAGATCGAGAGAAACACACCATCAACAGCACTAATGATCCGTGCCGCAGTTCATGCAGAGACTCCTAAAGTTTTATGTACTCTTCACCTGGTGATATCCATTGTGGAGCGATTGACTGGCGGACTGAATGATGCAAGCAAACCATTTGAGCCGCCAAAAAGGTGACAGTGATTAAAGCTTTTGGAGCATATCCTGTGATTTAGGAAGTTGTGGTTCATCCATGAATTTGGAGAATCTGCACCTGGATCTCACTCTGAACTTGTGATGACGCAAATGGCCTGGACCATGGTTGCACGGAGTCTACTTGGGGTCCCTATCACCCTGGAGGGCATTGAAGCAACAGCTTAGCAACTGGACATGCATAGTTGTCCTTTTGTTCATCATGTGCACCCTTGATTTCACTGCTGTCGAGAAGCTGAATGTCCGGACACCAATATGCATTCCTCAGACACGTTGGCCGTGGCACCTTCCATCCGACAAACATGGAAGTGGAACATGGCCCCTTCAAACAGGCCGTTCTCCACTTGCATTTGTTGGAGGCAGGGCAATCAACTCAAAGATCTGTGGAGAAGGTCAAAGGGTCGCTCCAACCAGAATGGCAAGGTGCCACTTCATGCCATCCTTTAAAAAACAAAGATAAACATAGAGCCCTACCAGGAAAATAACGCCTTTTTCACGGTCGGTGTGAAGAACAAACATCTTGAAACACCGAAGGCGTTATGGAGGATTGCCCAAACTGAAGTTCCATTGAGTTGGCTGCTGCATGGAGGTTTGAGGTGGTGGTGTCAGGTGAACGGGCGGCAAGGAACCGTGTCAGGGTTTTCTTCATGTTTTGTTTCCCGTGAAGTCGTGAACTCACTTGGTTTTGTATAATGGTTTTGGCTTGGGGGGTGGTACCGTTGAGTTCTTCCGCCAGTTTCAGAAACATTGTGAAACATTGTCAAACCATTCACTTGGGAGGTCTCAACATCCAAAGACATACTTATGCATTTATGACTAAAACAAGATGTCCTTGAAAATGCTATATTTCGGCACGATGTTCAGCCCGGTCGGGTGTCGTGTTCCACTGATGTTCCACTTGGTTCAGCGTCCCTGGATAAAACCTCTGCAGCGCCATGTGCTCAACTTCACTGCTCCCTAGTGCCAGACAAATCTCCCCAGTTTCTTGTGGCCCGTCATCACTTCGCTGGCATCGAGCCTTAGGAGGTCTCGCACAGAGTGTGGATTTCTCAGAGGAAGCTGTATGCTTCCCCCAACAATCATGGAAGTGGACAAAAAAAATCCTATGGTAGAGCAAAACCTGCCCGCACCGAAGGCGCGGAGGGGTTAAACTGTAAGTGGCGCATTCATCGCGGCTGTAATGTTTTACCTAACATGTTCATTTGGGAACAAAAATGCGTATTCTACATCATGAGGTGGTGGGAGAAAACATGGAAAGACACAAAGTTTTCACATATCATCTATGCCTGACTATGTTTCTCATTGTCGTATCATTTGCATCCACTAAATCTGTACTTCAAGGTCCACAAAGTACTGCACCTGCCACGACATCTGCACTTCAAGATTGACAACATGCTGCACTTGCCACGAAGTCTGCACTTCAAGGTCATGGCTGGTTCGTTTCCTTTATTTGGTGGTACCTGCTTTGTTGTTTATACCTTTCTTTTGCTTGTCAACTATCTAATTCGTTCTGTGTTTGCTTTATTGGTTGGAAGCAAGGGAAAGGCCAACTTGCCTATGTTGCAAACTGTTGTATCATTT